ATGTGCCCTGTTAACTGGATACAGAAAAATGCTTTTGATGTGTAGCTTTTAGCACAATTATGGGTAATAGCATTGTCAACACGACATCTACAAATGTGATCAACATCATGGTTGCTGTAACAGAATTACTAACACTGTGTTTGGCAGCTGTAGAAATTTACTCTCAGTGAGGCATACTTAAGCTGTGTACTGCACACGAGCTGAGTCACTGACATACAGTTTGGAGTTATTCTGCAGTAGATCTCATTGCCTTTCCCCGCTGATGAGGTGAAGACGAACGTGCACCTCCCAACGACTGCTTCTCAAGGCCTTTGCTCTCTGAAGCGGTGATGGATGCTGACACCTCATCTACTGTACATCACTGTCTGTCTTCACCTGACCCAGTAACAGTGGTGGTGAGGGGCAGCTGGGCTAAAGCAGATGTTTTTAAGGGTTAGGGTAAGTACTTTTCCTAGGCACTCAACCTAAAATAACCATTAACACACTGTACCTGCTGCAGTGATAAGGAATTTATTTTCAATAGATTCTCTGTAGACTGAACCTTTTATTGTCAAAAACAGTTTTTAAGTATTCATGTCAGACCTCATTTTCCAACTAGGTCTGAATTAACAGCCACAAACCGGCACATAACTATACTGAGGCTTTTAATTTAATTTCTGCATGAATGCATAAGTGTCTGCAGCATTTACCATAATGCTGCTTTTATGTCCTGGAGTTTTGACCAAAGGTTTTTTTAATGTATGAAGCTTTCTGTTTGAATTAATTTAAACCATCAGACATTTAATAGGAAGGAAAATCATTGTCCTTACAAGGGAAAACAAAGGTTTCTATTTATATTGCTACGACTTCAAAGATGTGATTCTATTTTCTTCTGTGTCACATTACCTATGACATTTAAAAACAAAGTAAAATGTACAGTTTCCTGCAGGATGCTATGCAGCATGTTATAGGAATAGATAACATACTATGGTAGTGTGAGGGTACAAACAGATATCACAGCCTGATCACAGAGCACACTCCCAGATATGATGGAGCTGGGAGAGATAGTATTACCAGCGGGCAGACAGATATATCAGGGCTACTCCAGTACAGCGACAGATCCAGTCCTGCTGCTCCTCCTGTTGATCTCTGCTTGGCAGTGTGGACTGCAGTTGAGAAGGCCGATCAATAGCACACACTAAAGCCATTCTCACACAGGATAAACACAACCACGCCTCTAGACCAGCATCCCTGCTGCTGATTCTGTTGCTTTGAAAATCACAGACTCAGGCACACAAGCTGCTGTTCTTCTCTCTCTTACTCTAAGTGCTGTTTATTTACACATTGGTGTTAGCTCATACTGCACACATCTAATGAAAACAACAAACTGAAGCGGATATTCCATTAAGTAAAAGTACACTCCACTACATGTGAGTGACAGGCTACAGCGTACTCTGGATGTGTATTGCATTTTCTCCTTTATCACAGCCCTCCATCACTTATCCTCGATTAGAAAATGTAACTGCTTCTCTGATCACTTGTATACAAATGAGCATCAGTATTCAGGTGGCACACAATCAGATTAATGTGGCATCTTTCCAAAGCCTTCTGTCTACTTCAATCACATTATTTCCAGTCGCTGGGCTCTTGTCTTGACCCAAGTGTTGACAGAGGAACCTAACCTCCTCCTCCTACTCTGCAATCTGTCAAATGCTGTAATCTGGACGGCCTGAGCTGCTTAACACTGTTTCTGCTGTATTCAGTTCACACCTGCCTTCCTAACTGTGTCATGTAGTACTCTTTCTTGTGCACTTGCATATTGTAGATATTTTTAAAATCCTCTTCATCAAGAATTTACATTTAGGTTAAAAAAAGGGGGTGGAGGGACTCGCACAGACACACTGGAGATTCTGCCTGCAACCTGGTTTTGACATTCATGACCCCCGTAAAGGTTATGCACTTTCCAGAGTGACGTAAAATTTGTGCACAAACTGATGCCATAAATATGTTTAAGAGCCTGATGTGCTAAGTGGCTCATTAATATTTAACACCAAACGGAGTCTGTGTTTATTTTTACCTTTGCGCGTGATAAGACGTGCAGGGCCTGAATGTGCACTGCAACATATCTGAACTATATTCATGCAAACAACTGACTGTTTACCAAAAATGATTATGTATACAACCCCTCCCAGTCTTTCCTCACTTCGCAGCTCTTGTGATGTACTTAACAAGTCATCTATGGGTTTATCCAGTCTTCACCTGAAAACTCCCATCAATCCTACACAACCTCGCCTGCACATATTTGCCCCTCCCTCTCCTCCTCTCTCCATCGCCATCCGTCCATCTCCCCTCGTCCCTGCCTGCCTGCACTGAAATTCTTCCTCTTCTGCTCGTTTCTTTATCCCTCTTTATCTCTATTATTCATGCAAGTAATAACTAACTGTGCAAACGCCCCTGACAATGGCATCATCCCTTTTCCCTTTTTCATCTCTTTCTCCAAGCCATACCGCCCTATAAATAAGCCCTATCACAGCGTTTGCCTCTCCCGCCTCTCTCTCCTCTCCATCCCTCTCTGCCTCCTACTCACACACGTATACATACTGCCAAACAGCATCATAAATCAAAGGATGGGAGGAGGAGGGAGGGGAGGAAGGGAGGTGGGGGTGCAACCACACACACAGTAGCACATTTTAACACATATTGTCTCTGACATTTTGCCTGTATACTGTGTATACAGCCTCTGTGAGCACACATCTACAGCTTGCTTACATACACACTGCACTGAAAGAGAAGCAAACAGCTCACACACACACACACAC